GGGGCCCCGACTGCTGCCGCTCTTGTCTCTGCTCCTGCTGTTCCGGGACGCTGGCTGCAGCCGCTCGGACCAGTCGTGGCCCTCTCCGCCTGTGGTCGCTGACAGACTGCAGGAGTCTTCACCGGGGGACGCAGCCGCCACTGCCCTGGGTCAGGGCGCCCGGGACATGGTCGCTGTCCACATGCTCCGGCTCTATGAGAAGTACAGCAGGCGGGGCGCACAGCCTGGAGGCGGCAACACTGTGCGCAGCTTCCGTGCCAGGCTGGGTGAGTAGAGTGAGCCGGGAACCTTCCCTACCTTCTCCCCTTCCTCCTTAACCAGCCTTCCCCTCTGCAAAGCCGCTTTTCCTCTTCCTTGCACTCCTTCGTTCATCCCTTCCCATCAACTCAGGAGCACTCTGTGACAGGCAGGAGCCACCAGTGAGAATGCCAGAGTGGCACAGCGTGGCCCAAAGTTCCCATCCTTGGTGGTCTCCCATAGTTGCTGAACCAAGAACACCCCCGACCCAGACACAAGCTTTAGATGCCAGCGAGCTGGGGAGTATGAGGACAATAAGGCCAGAGGTGTTGGCACTTGCTGCTGGAGAAGAGATGGTCAGGCGGACAAGCAGCAACAGGAGAAGGTAGAAGTGCCAGGCAGGAGGGGTTTCCTCCAGCTGCATGCAGTGAACAGTTTTAGTGGCAGGAAGTGGCATGCAGTGAGGGTCTTGGGTGCTTGGCACTGAGAACTCCAGGGCACCAGTGTGAAGTGTGCAGGTTGAGGTCCAGAATCCCAGGGTGCAGAAGTACCCTGCCCCTCTCCTGTCCTGGCAACCACCTCCCTGCCTTCTTCCATGGTGGCTGGAACTGGGCAGAGGCCCTCCATGTTGGCTTGCTCTGAGAGCCTCTAGACTTCTGCTCCAGCAGCCTGCCCACTAAGCTTGGCTATGCTGGACTGGGCCGCAGTGTAAGCCCCCAGGAAGAGGAGGTACCACCTGGGCAACAGGGGTGTTGGGAAGACCCAGGTTATCGTGGTGATTGCTCATGGCTGCATAGTACAGTTCCAGAAAAGGTAGGTGGGGGTCCCCTGCAGCTCTGTGCGGAGGAGGCATTCACCAGGAGAAAACCCTTCAGTGTGCAGGCTGCCCTCCCTAGGTGGAAGGACACAAGCCCATCCTGCCTGGGATCAGAGCTGTCACATGCTGCTCATGGGCTGTGTGGCTCTAGGTAACATCTATGGCTTTTAGGACCAGAAATGGGGAGCTTGGCCTCCCAGGACGATGGATGGGGGAGCACCTGCCACTGAGCACATCCCTTTCTTCTCCTCCCCTGAGCAGACTCACAAGGTCAACCGATCAAACTGCATCCTGTGTAACTTTTATTTACCACCTAAGGTCCATTTCTGAAGCACCATTATTAAATTAAGCCACTTAGGACTTAACCTGGCATAATCACAACCTTGGTAAATCACTAGAGGGGTAGAGTTGATTGTACTCACTTATAAAAGGCAGGGTGTGGCCTGGGAGGTTGAAAGAAAGAAGAAATGAGGAGCAAGTTCAGAGCCAGCACTGGCCAGTCTAAGTATTTTTTTGTTTTTATGGAATGGGGATGGTACCAGTAACAGGAACTCAGGATTTAACCCTCAAAAGGGTCTGGTGACAGTGACTCACAACCTGTGACTTATTTTACAGACAGGGAAACTGAGGCAGGGGAGGCCTAAGCATGGCAATGGCTGGTACCTCCTGTGTACCAGGCTATTGTTATTCTCCCTGCCACACAACCCCTACCATCTCCATCAGAGACAAGACTGGGGCCCAGGAACAGTAGGGTAGAAGATAAAAGTGTGAGAAATCAGAATTCGGGTGAGGTGGAACTGTCTGACAGATCCCTCTTCTTTGGAACCAAGAGGCAAACTTGGGCATAACTCCCAACCTCCTCAGCTACTGGCTGTGTGTGGTGACCCAGGCTACTTTCCCCTTCTGAGCAGCAGGGAGTAGGTGGAGACTCACTGCCCAGCATAGAGTGGGTCTGTTTCTTTCCCACTCCCCTGGCTCATCTAAGTCAAAGCTGTTTCATAGCCAGCCCTGTGCCAGCCCTCAGATGTGCTGCTTCCTCCTCTGGAGACCCATCTCCAAGGAAGGGTGAGTCTAGGCGGGGACCCTCTATCCAGGAACAAGGCCATAAATGGGGGAGGCATCTGTAAACTGCAGCAAGTCTTGCCAACACAGGCGATACTTGGTGCTGGAGTTCTTGCTCCGAATACATGGGAGAATAAGGATGTGGGTGCTGGGTCAGGCTGAGCCTCTGTCCCTTCCCAGGGGTGTGATTTTAGGCTGGTGATGTACCCTCACTGAAGGCCCAGCCCTCTGTTCACAGAGTAAATGACCCATCCCTCCCTGTCATCGTAGTGAGTATGTGGCACTCAATCAGAGCCAGGCTCTGAGGCATGGAGTTCAGAACTCCATAACTGGCATTTCAAATCTAAAATCCTAAATCCAAAAAGCTGCAAATTCAAAACTTTTTGAGCACTGCCACGATGTTACACATGGAAAATTCCCCAGCCAACTCCATGTGACCAGTCTCAGTCAAAATGCAGATACACTAAAAATACTATACGAAATTACCTTCCGGCTAAATTTATAAAATACAGGAAATAGAAAAGAATGTTGTGTTCAGACTGAGGTACCATCGCTAAGATGTTGCACCATGTATGTGCATATATTCTAAAGTTTTTAAAAATCTGAAATCTTAAATGTTTTTGGTCCTAAGCATTTCAGATATGAGGTACTCAAGCTGTAATCTTGTTTAAAGACAAAGTAAATGAGGCCCGCAGGGAGCTCACTGGCTGAAGGTCCAACCTCCTGGATCTCCAGTTGTGTTTTCGCAGTCAGCCGTGTCTTTCTAGAAAACTAGGCTATCTGGGCTTCTTACTGATGTGGTGGCTGTTCTCAAGGACAATGGCCAGGGCCTTCTAGACTCCACTGTTTTCTGTCCCTTCCTGCCTTCCTGCAATGTAGAGGCCATTTAATGTGCCCTAGGTATCCCCTCCTTTGTCACATATCTCTGAGCACCAAATGCCACCCTCACTCTATGCCAGGACCTAGGGAGGCAGCAGAGAGCAAAATTGTTAAAGCTCTGCCTTTCAAGGAGTCTATGGAGAAAACAAGATAAATGATAACAAATAAATACAAGGACATCAGGAAGTGCTTGGGGTAGGCGAAAGGATGAGAGGCTCTTCATCCCAAGGCCGAGGGCAGCTTTGCGGGGAAAGCTGAATGGGCGAAGACCTGAAGGAGGATCCAGGATACCTGGAGGAGCCAGGCAGAGGACAGAACAGCCCTGGCAAAGCCCTAGACAGAAGCCTCATGTAGGGATGACAAGAAGGACAAGTTTCGAGGCAGAGGGAGGGATGGGCTGTCAGGCCTGGTGGGACTTTGGTAAGGGGTGTGTTGTTTGGGGCTGTGGAGGCTCCAAGCAAAGGAGGTCCCAGAACTAATCCCAGCACACAAGGCCTCATGTGTACAGTGCTCTGTGAGGGTGATGTGACCGGATACTGCCAATGACTGTTGTCACTGTTACCAGGCTGTCCCCAACTAGGCAGAGCTCTCCCAGAACAGCTTTGACCACCTTGGCCAAGAACCCAAGCAGCTGACCCTTAGCTAAGTGAGAGTTTTACAGATGTTTTTTGGGAAGGGAGGACTGATACAGGAGAGAGGGAAGGAGGTTCCTTGCACAGTCACTGTGAGTACAGGTCACTAGAGATTGGGTCTTCTCTTTGGGCTTCTCCCTTGTGGCCTGGGTACATCTCAGCTGGAAACTTTGGGTAAGGGTTCCTGCCTTGAGCCACAGCCTGCATGGAACCTGAGGACTACAGTGACCAGGCTGGACCTTGGCAGGTCCCAGCAGGGAGGGTTCTCATGGGACAGGCTGCCCAGTAAACCATAAGCTATCTCTGGCTGGAAGCCCTCAGCCCCACAGAGGTAGGATGTCTACCTTCCTGTGTGACCTCTGAGACTCATCCTCACTCTGGATCTGTGATATGAGCAGAACAGTCGTGCTAAGACATGAACCAGATGAAAGTGAGCCACATCTGCCACATTGAGTCCAGACCAGGTGCTGTGGGGAGTGGGGCTGCTCATGTTGGTGCAGGAGGAGCTGGCCCTACCTCCCTCTGTCCTTTCAGTGACAGTGGCAGGAAACATGTTTGGGCACCTTCCTTGTATGGGGCTTGCTATATGCCATTTCTTTCAGCCTCAGAGGTTCATGTCAGGCCTGTATGAAGCACTTGAGGACAGTGAGGCTCAGAGCATAGTGGCATCTAAGGGAGACTTGAAGCATTTCTACCTTGGGAGTGGGTGCTATACTGTGGTGACCTTCACCCACCCATGGGTCAACAAGCATGTGGCAGAAAGAGCCACCCTCTCTGAACCACCTTGAGCAAATGCAGTGCAGGAGCCACGGGTGACAGCAAGGACAACTACTGGAAGTTTCCAGCTTGGAGGTGCTGCAGATACTCAGCCCTGGGCATTTGAGCTGATTCTCAGACTTCCAGAAGTGCAGAGCCCCCAGGCATGCTGGTCCGAATGTGGTGGGGCTGTGACATCTCCATGTGTTGGGAGGATTAGCTATGACGATGTCTTTAGCTTTAAGAGGCTCTCCATAGATATTACCCCCTTTCTTCCTTCCTCTCATGGTCCATGTGAAAACTCCCAATAGAATAAAGCTTCCTGCCCGGTAGAAGCAAAGAACATTAAACTGAAGACTGTGGTTTAAAAAAATCCCAGCTGATCTCTGGATGCATGTGTCAGATTATAGCTCTGACCCATGTCTGCCATCTCCTGGGCAGCTGCTCTCACCTGGTCTCCAGCGCAGGGATGTGCCAGGAAAGACCCCCCCCTTGCTTAGAGAGGACTTGTCCAGCTTCCTGGGACTGTGGGGTGACATGGCGAATATGTGAGGAGGACATGGTTCCAAGTGAGAAGGAAGGAGTGGTCAGCTACACCAGGGAAGCAGAGGAAGAAGCATGCTGGGATCTCCTTGCAGACCAGATATGATGGTCAAGGTGGTCCTGATCCTCACCGAGCCTGGCGCCTCCAGGTAGGTTATTGACTGACCTTATGCAATCCTGATACTGCTCTTTCTTTGTAAAACAATCTTAAAAGTCCACAGCAGAAGATCAAATGGCTGTTCCTTGATCCAAGCTTCCCTTTAAATGTGCTCAGAATGCAGTGAAAAATAGGAAGTTCTCATTATTTCACCTCATTTGGAAGAATGACTGTGTTTACTATCAATTGCACTTAATGGTTGCATTTAAAAACTGGATGCATAGAATAAACAGCTGTGCGAATACCTTAGCTGTGTGGCCGCCTTAAGACAAGGCTTGGACCCAGCCCAAGCCATCTTGAGCACCTAATGAAGGTGTCAGCGACACTTGGTCTTTCTCTGGCTAGACAGGCTGGGAAAATGGAGCTTTAGGGTCCAGCAGGCCTGAACACCTACCCTGTCACCTCTTCTGCCCCCTCTCCGTTTGTCCCCGACTCTGACCTCAATGGTGTATGTTCATTGAGGACACCAAAGGGCGCCCTCATTAGTTTGATGTGGGGATTGCAGGAGAAGAGGAAAGCAAAGCGCAGGCTGAGCGAGACACTGGGTCCTGGCATGGTTTCACCACCCCAGCCTGGGTGGGAGGCACCCTGAGCAAGTGTAGTTCCTAGTGGAAACCCAACATGCTGTGGTCTGTCCTTCTCTCGCAGAAGTGGTCGATCAGAAGGCCGTGTATTTCTTCAACCTGAGCTCCATGCAGGACTCGGAGATGATCCTCACGGCCACCTTCCACTTCTACTTAGAGCCACCGCGGTGGCCCCGGGCACGAGATGTGCCCTGCAAACCTCGGGCCAAGAGTGCTCCATGCCGCCTGCAGCTCCCGGGCCCCACGCGCCTGCACGTGCTCTTCCACAGCCTGGCGAAGAACGCGGCCACCCAGGGGCTGCTTCGTGGAGCCATGGCCCTGGTGCCACCACCGCGGGGCCTGTGGCAGGCCAAGGACATCTCTGCCATCGTCAAGGCTGCGCGCCGGGACGGCGAGCTGCTCACATCGTCAAGGCTGCGCGCCGGGACGGCGAGCTGCTCCTGTCCGCCCAGCTGGACTCTGGGGAGAGGAACCCCGGGGTGCCCAGGTCCACCCCTCACGCGCCCTATATTCTCGTATACGCCAATGACCTGGCCATCTCAGAGCCCAATAGTGTGGCAGTGACACTGCAGAGATACGACCCCTTTCCTGCTGGGGACCCCGCGGCTCGTGCCACACACAACAGCTCCTCGGACCCCCGCGTCCGTCGGGCTGCACAGGTCCCCGGGCCGCTACAGGACAACGAACTTCCCGGCCTAGATGAGCTGCCGGCACGAGCACCCTTGGCCCCGCACTTCCATAAGCAGGAGCTGTGGCCTGGTCAGTTCCGCGCGCTAAAGCCCCGGCCCCCGCGCAAGGAGCGCAGGAGGAAGGGCCAGAGCCCCTTCCCTGCCACCGCCTCGCAGGTGCTGGACTTTGATGAGAAGACGATGCAGAAGGCTCGGAGGAGGCAGTGGGACGAGCCGCGGGTCTGCGCGCGGCGGTACCTGAAGGTGGACTTCGCAGACATTGGGTGGAACGAATGGGTCATCTCCCCCAAGTCCTTTGACGCCTACTACTGCGCAGGAGCCTGTGAATTCCCCATGCCCAAGGTAAGCTGGCGGGAGCACCTTCCTCCTGTCCTGCCTGTCCTCTGATCCTCCATCTCAGCTCTGCCCCTGTGGGAAGTCCCTCTGCTTATGTGACTTCCGGTCACCATCTGCAGAATGGAGGTAACCTCCCAATCATAGAGGCAGGAAACAGGAAGACAGAGGTGGATACAGCTCCCAGATATGTTTGGTTAGCCTGTACTTTGGAAAGTTTGGCTTGGTGGAGTTGGAATTTTTAAATCAGAACATGTCTTCTAAGAAAACAGAACCATCTCTGTAGAAGGGCATTCCCCGCAGCAGCCATCTCCAGAGGTTGTCAGTGTTACCCCACGGACAGGGCAGGTCCCATCCCTTGCCAAGATTTTCCCACCTGTACCTAGTCAGGGACCCCAGGGGTGAGTGTCTGTGACCAGCTGGATACTAGTCTCTGTGTCTCGCAGTGTGGGCTCCCCCCTTTCTTGGGCTCAGGGCACCCTGGGGACAGCCAGTAAGACACAGCAACATAGGGCTGTTTTATTGCTCTGGCCCTGAGCTCTCAGTCTCTCCTTCCCCTGGGTGGGATTGTGGTTCTCTCCACCACCTCTAGGAAGCCTGTTCAGGCCCTGTGAACCCTTGACGCATGCAGTTTCCTCCCACTTGCCCTCCAAGAAAGGAAGTCAGTACATAAATCCAGTTTGATCCTCACTAAATCAGCCCAGTGGGAAAGCACAGGCCCAGATGTAGGCTGTCTTAATCTGTTTGTGAGTCAAGGGGCTTCTCCTCCAAGCTGCGCATGTGCCAGGGAGGAATGGAGGAGCTTGGCACAGATAGGGGCTGCTGGAGAGGCTTTGCACAGGCCCAGGGCTTGTGCAAGGCCAGACTTCTGCAGGCACACAGCTGGCTGACCCCGTGCTTACCTTATCATCCTTGCTTGATGCCTCCTCACCTTCCCGAACACCAGCCAGGACACCAGCCAGAGCTGCGGGTGTGCAGGTGTCGCTATCCTACCCCACCCCCATCTCCATCACCTGCATCTGTTAGTGCTCTGGAGCAAGTGACGGCTGTGTTCATCTTTTCAGAGATGGGCAAGTGTGCCAAGTCAGGTCGCTTTCTAACTCAGAGTGCTTGGTCAGGTTCCGTAGTCATTTTAAGCCTTAGTGGCTTCACTGGTGATGTGAAAGTCATATTCACCCCAAAAATCTATAAGATGACAAAATGAGATGCTTCCAGTGATGCTGCAGCTGCCATGAAATTCAGGCACAGCTGAGAAGTGTGTATGTCCAGCTCCCAGCACAGGCCAAGCCTACCCTTTCAGTTTTAATAACTGGACTGCATGTAAGGTCCAGCTCCCAGCACAGGCCAAGCCTACCCTTTCAGTTTTAATAACTGGACTGCATGTAAGGTCCAGCTCCCAGCACAGGCCAAGCCTACCCTTTCAGTTTTAATAACTGGACTGCATGTAAGGTTAGGCCGCCTCTGCCAGACTGATACTACTCAGAGATGAATGACACACGAGCGCCCTCCAGTGGCCAGTGTCATGAAGGGAGGCAGGATGGTCAGACAGGCGTGAACTCTCTTATAGGCTCTGACCTCAAAGGTAGGGCCGGCTCTGGAACTCATCTTTTCTTCTGAGTCACCATTTCCAGGGCCTCAGTCAAGAAATAGCAGTAGAGCGCTGTGGTCTGCAGCCTTGAGGGTAGCTGGGTTGGGTGGGTGAGTGAGAACAGAGCACTGAGGTGACCCCGCTCCTTTCTCACCCTGCAGATTGTCCGCCCATCCAACCATGCCACCATCCAGAGCATCGTCAGGGCAGTGGGCATCATCCCAGGCATCCCAGAGCCCTGCTGTGTTCCAGATAAGATGAACTCACTCGGGGTCCTCTTCCTGGATGAGAACCGAAATGTGGTTCTGAAGGTATACCCCAACATGTCTGTGGAGACGTGTGCCTGCCGGTAAGCCCTCTCTGGGGAAGGCAGTCTTGTGCCCCCTCAGGAGCTGGACCCGGACTGGCAGAGAAGCTGCAGGTGCAGGCAGAGCTTACAGGCAACCCTGCTGGGCCCAGAAAGATCTTGGGTCTTCACTGCTGGTGACTGAACCCCCTGATGCTTCCTGAGTCCCCACTCAGAAGGAGTCTGGAAGTAGCCCTGGCCTGAAGGTCACCCATCAATTCACTGTCCTCAAGGCCTGGCAATGGGGCGTGTCTGGGACATTGGTCTGTGCATTCATCATCTCAAGACCTGGAAAGACTGTGCACGTCTAGGGGTGCTCACTCCTCCATGCAGAAAGAACAGCTCTTTAAGTGCTTAGTTTAAAACTCTTCAGGCTACAAACTGGAAAAGGGGCCCAATGGTGGCATGTTTGGGTGTTTTCTTTCCCACTCCAACACAGATGCTTTTCTACATACAGTATGCACATATAACCATTGTGGGTTTCTTTCTTTTAATATATATTTTGTTTTAAAACCAAAAGGTGGGAATTGACACCATTCCCCACAGAGATAATCAGATTCATTAGGCTGGGTTGTTGAAATATATATGGAAGTAACATATACAGTAATATGTTGGAATACTAAAAAATAACCAAGATTTTATATTTTTGTAAGTTATACTTTGTATACTGTAGATTGTGTATGTTCTGTGTTTTATGGAAGGATAATAAACTAAAGGGACAATGGTATCTTGACAAAGTCAGCATCCCCCATTCCCAAATATCAATCTATTTCCACTTATCCTAAGTCTAACATCTGGGTGGATGCTGGGGACACTGACCTTTAGGACTGGTGGAGGCCCCAAAGTCATCTCCATACATTCTGTCTGTCCCAGCTGGCAGAAAGCTAGCTGCCCTTAGGCCTTGCAGGACACTGCCCAAACCCCTCTGTCTTGCAAATCCCCACCCTAGCTGGCATCGAGAGGGGCATGGCTCATGCAGGCACAGTGGCCTTCTGGGAGGTGACCAGGACATATCTGAGGCCTATGAAGGACAATCTGCAGTTGCCTGTTGCTCCTGACAGAAGAAAGAGGCCTTCTACATAGAGTAGATCAATCAGGAAGAGACGGCACACAACCCTCTGGAGGTCCAGGTTCAGTAGGCACTGGAAGGACTGTGTGTTCTCTTGTGCATGCTTATAGCAGCCACCCAGAAAATCCGTCACAAAACAGCCACTCCCAGGTGGCTCCATTGTGCCTGCCATTTGTATAGCCTTCCTATGGTCCCCACTGGCTGGCAATTCTGAAACGAACCTGAGTGCAATTCAAGGTAGGTGCATCCTGATCCCCATCAGAGGGACCTGAGAGGATGGTGTGGCCCTGAGTTAACCCATGGAGACTGTGAAGCTGCTAGATGCCTCCCTATAGCCAGGGCTCCTGTAAGAGGCGAAGAGAAGGCTCTGCTCCCTGACCCTCTAGGCCTCCAGCTGCCCCTGAGTAGGGAGATGACAATCCCAGTTCCCTGGCCCTTGTCTGAGGTGCTGTGCCCAATCTGAATAAAGGTGCAGGAGTGGCTCCCTGGGGAGCCCAGCAGCTGGGTGGCCCCTCCCACAGAAGGGTTAGCTTGGTTTTCAATGTCTGATCCTTTTCAGAACATGGCATGAGATGAAACAAATTTAAACATTGAGGCTTGAAAAGACACCAAGTCCTTTCTTCCAAATATGAGCCCCTTTGTGTGCACCCCTCCTACCCTCCACTCCATGTTCCCCCTTAAACCATTGATAAAGATGGGGAGTCCTGTGATGGCTTTATTTTATTTTTTCTGGCGTCTGTACTTTCAAGACTTCATTTCTGGATTTCTGGAATGGGGGTGGGGTAGACTCTCCTCAGGCCTAGTAGGTGCTGTCTTCCCCAAGTGTGCCATGATGGCTTTGTGGTATGGAGAGGCCATGGATGACACATGTCCCCTCTCTGCAGTGGAAGGATCTGGTGACATTAGGGACCCCTCTAGTTCACAGAGCAGCCTGTGCTTGTCTTGGTAGCATATGGCATCTTATTTAGTCTCAGCACCTTTACAGCTTACAGCCTGATTGGTGCCACAGCAAACAAGCTCAGGGAGCATAAGTAACACGTCCGCTAATGTCTTTCTGAGACTATGGGTCATGTCAAGATTGATACCCACAGCTGCCTGAGTCAGGGTCCACATGACTGGCCCTACCCCAGACTTCCTGGCCAGTGGCCCCTTCTACAGGTCTGTTAGGATTGTCCGATGTCACTGAGTGTCATCATAGGAAAGCAAGATTTAAGGAGGGGTATAGCTCAGGGGTAAAGTGTATGCCTAGTGTGGATGAAGGCCTGAGTCTGAATCCTAGCACAGAAGAAGAAGGAAGAGAGGAGAAGGAGAAAACATATGGATAAAATAGCTTCTTCTCCCTTAAACTCAAAAGGTCAACATTATATTGTCACCAGAGCCTAAAGATTCCAACACACAGCCTAGTTGGGCATGGGTTCCTGCGGTCACTCAGCTGCTGGTGTCACTCTACAGGGAGTGATACAGTGACCTGATGCTGGGCCTTGGTCCTGAACTTACAAGATGTGACTGAAAAATATGGTGAATGTTTACATTTTAAATTTTATTACAGTAAAAATCCCATTGCCATTAATCCCCTTCAAAATCCTCCTCCTCACTTTGAACACTTATCCCATCTTTTTTTTTTTTTTTTTTTTTTTTTTTTTTTTTTTTTTCCTTTTTTTTTTTTTTTTTTTTTTTTTTTTTTTTTTTTTATTTTTTTTTTTTTTTTTTTTTTTTTTTTTTTGTAGTAGTATGTTTTCATTTCCTGAAGTGTCTAGTTGTGCTGTCTTGGCTGCCTCAGTGTCCTGAATTAATTCAAAATGTTTCCCTTTCATGGTCATTTTGACTCTGTGGAAGAGCTGGAAGTCACAGGGTGCCATACCCAGTAAGTGAGGTGGGTGAAGATGCACTGTAATGATTTTATGAGCCTGCCTTTCATTTGAATGGTGCTTGGCACAGTATTTACAGTACTTTTGATCACACCTTGAAAAGACACTTGCAAAAGAAGGCTTCCAGACCCACTGTAAAAAGTGGCAGGAAGGATGGGATAAGAGTGTTCAAAACAAGGAGGAGTATTTGGGGGAATTCATGGCAATGTGTCCTTGACTGTAGTAATTTTTAAAACTTAAGCACACTGTATATTTAGGTCAGCCTTTGTATATGCCCTCTGGAAAGGTCTGGCATGTTGGGGATGGTTTATCCGACCAGTACTAATAGCACAACAGAGAGCTGGACATTCTCAGGCCAGAGAAGACACTGGGAAGTTCTGATACTACTCTTTTCCTTTAGAAGGAGGGAAACTGAGTCCTGGTACTACTGGACATCTTACCATTGCAGTAAGTGCTTATATGTCTAAGCCACCCATAAAATACTATCAATAATTGATGCCTATAACTAACACTGTTCTGCGGCCACGATGGAAACAGCTGTGATGGAGGAACTGACAGATGACTGGGATGCTGGAGGAAGGGTGTGGGAGGGGCCTCCAGAGGAGGACAAAGAGAGAAGATACTGCAGAGAGCTCTACTTTGGGGCCAGCTGGGAAACAAGAGCCGGACTTGGCTGGTAGAGTAAGGACATCGCAGTACCACTTGTGCAGTGCGTGCTGGCTGCATGTCAGGGAACCTGGCTGGATATGGGTGGAAGATTATTCCCCTTCATCGAAACCTAGGAACTTGAAATCCTTCACAGATGACCAAGCTTCCTGGATTTCTGTACTCCTCCCTGCTCCCCAAAGTGATGGTGTTCATCCAAGCGATGGTCCTTTCTTCCCACCTCTGGAACTTATCACTCAGCCTAACCCAATCTTAGGCTCCCTCCTCTGCTGTTTCCAAGCAGCCATTTGTATGAGTCAGGGCTGCCAGAGAATGAATGCCCATTTGATCAAGTATGACTCCATTCTTAGCACCTACTCTGGGCCAAGCACCGTGCTGGGCAGAGCAGTCAGCCTTCCATGGCTTTCTCTTCCATGGTCTCAAATTCAATCAGGCTTGGACTGAGAATCATTTTGTAAAACTTGTCTTTGTACTGGCAGTGTATAGTTTTTCCTGTCATTATTTCATTAAAATATATAGCACAGCAGCTACATTGTATTTTTATTATATTAAGAGTTCTAAGTAATCTCAAGATGATTTAAGGGAGGATATGAGTAAGTCATATGTGAATACCACAACATCTTATTCTTAATCATATTTTCATTTGAATTCACCCTTAGGAATTGTACATATCTATGGTGTACAAAGTAGCATTGTAATACAAGCATATAACATAAAAGGACCAGATCAGGAAAATAACATACCTGTCACCTTAGACATACTTAGCAGGCTTGAGGCCCTGGGTTCCATCCCTACCATGAAAAACAAAACAACCACCTCCCCTGAAAAAATCTTTTTTCTGTGTCTACTGGCTATTTTGAAATATTTGATTAACTGTTACAATGAATTACCTTGCCGTGCATAGAACATCAGAAGCTGTTCCTCTTGTCCCCCTGTACCCACTCACTCACTGCACTGGAAGTGTTTTATTCAAAGGACTTGAATTTCCACAGAGTTTGTTGTCTGCAGGTGTCTCCTGGAACCAATCTGTCCTAGATACGGAGAGACAACTGTGTTACTTACTTTATCTACCTCTCTGATCAACATCACTGTGCATACAAGGGAATGCTTAGGAGGCTCAGAGGCCTGGGTTCCATCCCTAGAACCAAAACCAAAAACACAATGTGTGAACTTGAATGCACATCAGCATCACCTGGAGGCCTTGATCCAGGTGCAGGGCCCACCTGTTTCTGACCAAGACTAGACTATTTCTATCCAGTCCCCAGGGCTTCTATTGGCCCTGGACCCAGGTTGAGATCCATCATTCTGAGGAAAGTGTTCTAGGCATGGTCACTGGCCAGGAGTAAAGCAGGATCCCGATTCAGCGGGCTCAACCTAGATCTGGGAGTTGGGAGCTGGGAGGCAGCCTATTCTGCCTGGCCCCGGCTCTCTCCTCAGTCTTGGAGTGGATCAAATTTTCATTCCTATGAGCAACCTGCAGGTGGGTGTGGGTACCGGAACACCTAGAGAGGATGACAAGTGTCCTCAGGGGCCATCTCTCCTGGGAAAGAAGGGATCCCCCTGTCACAGGTGCTCAGGGGCTCTTTCTCACTCCACGATGAAGGGTGAAGTCAAGGAGAAACACATGGATGAGCCGCCTCTGCCTCTCTTATCCATCCCCTGTGCTTGTCCTACAGCAGCCCCAGGAGATGCAGTTCACAAGTCCTGCAGCTGACACTGGTTGACAATCACTAAGCACAATAACACCAACTGTCCAGACATCAACCACAGAGAAGGAGGATGAAGCTGAGCTGGCAGTGAATGGGGAGAGAACCCAGCCTGCTTGGCACCTGCATGGCACAATCTGCCTCTGTGGAGGGACCAGGGGACCCTGCTGAAGACCAGCAATCCCAGGATCTTTCCAGGGAACCCAGCTGCTCAGAACACAAAAGCCATGAGGCAAAGGGAGTCCTGGGCAAGTACTGATGGGCAGTAGGAGTGGCCAGGGGGAGGGAAGCATCAGGGAGGAGTGGTACAGTCCAACAGCAGGCTGCCAGGGCAGGGGCTCTGCCTAGGGGATGGTGAGCTGCCCATGGGTGGGGACAGGGACACTGACTGGAGGGTCGGGCACTGTGCTGCCAGTAGCAATAATGACTATGACCTTCATGGTGTCCTGGGCTCTGTGCTGAGTGCCATGTGCTCCTGAGAACACACAGGGTCTGTAGGATCCTCCTCTGTCCCCTGGACAGTGATGAACAGGACTCCTGATCGTGGCCTGGAACAAGAGCAGGTGAAGCTTGACGAGTGCCACACGCTTTAGGCTGAACTCTGGGGGAGAGTGTGGTGAGCAGGGAGCTCAGCTAGGTACGGAGAACAGCACCCTTTCTCCGGAGAACAGCACCCTTTCTCCGGGTCTAAGCCAGAGCATTGGGTTTCCACAGCAAACTGTGATTGGCATGGGGCTTAGGCAAATGAGCCAGTCAGGGCCAGAGAAACCATATGACTCTCTGGGACTTCCTGGCACAGGGGCTTCTGCTCCCCCACCCTTAAGGGCTCAAGTTGCAGAAAATCAAACTCCAATCAGGCTTGAGAAAATGCGTGATGGCTGACTTTTGAAATCAGAAAGTTCTGTAACAGTTTGGCTTTAGAACAGCTTGAGCTGGAGTGGGCAAAGTCCCTACGCCACTTTCTCTCTCGGTCCTGCACTCCATCCTCCACCAGGCCAGCTTCATGCCCATCTTGTGCCCTTACGGGTGGGGGAGCAGAAGTCCCTGTGCCAGGAAGTCCCAGAGAGTCACATGGTTTCCCTGGTCCCGAGTGGATCATTTGCACAACTGGCCTTTATCTGCATTACCCAAACCCAAAAACTTCTGGAAACTTAAAGTTTCTTTCTAACTCCTGTAGCAAAATTTGACCTAAATGAATATTTTTGTGTTGATGTATTTGTTGCACTGCAGAAATAATATGTGTTTGATGATAAAGCATCTTCTCTAATCCCTTTAGGGATTTTACAGTATCTGCAGCATGATACTAAATTTTACAAATCTGAAACTTTCTCTGTCCCAAAAACATTTCCAGCCACCAGGGTTTCAGAGAGAGGATTATAGAGCTTTATGTGTTTCAAAATGTTAACTATGAGCATTGCTGAACAGCTACAAGATTATGGATTATTTTTTATTTCTTGCTTTATGTTTTGCATTTCCCAAATTTTCTGTACTATAAACTACTGTCATAATCAAAAACAAATCTGCATCATTTAAAACATAACATTGGGCAGCAGCCCCTTGTGCATGCCTGAGTGCACCCAGACCATGCTGTGGGGTCCCCTTGCTCAGCCTCTGGAGTGTGAGAGAGCCCTGGGCAGGGGGCTTCCCACCCTGTGCTCTGGCCCTGAAGCTGCAGCTCTGCCTCCAGAATTTTCCTACCCACTGGAATTCTTGCACTGAGCTGGATTAATGCCCAACACACTTCCTGCCCCACCCCAGACAGCATTTCTACAGCTGTGTCCATCCCTCCTCCCCTGGTCATGTCCCCCGGGGGATGAGGACAGCAAGTTCTGTCCAGCCACTCAGGGATTCCTGGCATCACTCTTCCCCTGGGGGATCTCTGGTTCTAGGGTGCCTCCTGCTGCAGCTCCCTGAACTGCTTCAGCTTTCTGCTCCCTGGACAAAGTCACTTGCAGCCCTGCCCAGAGCAGTGCACCCTGCTAGGGCCCTAATATGTTGAACTGCAATGCCACACATAGTAGGGAATAGACAGAGGTCAAGTGTGGACACATCACTTTTAAAGTAACCCAGTTCTGGAGCCTCAGAAGCTGTACCCTGGCTGTAACTTCAGCCTCTACCAGTCATGAGTCCATCTCTGGGCACACAGCCACCTCCAAGCCTTCTACCCACTCCTCTGTGCACACGGACTTTGCAGTTCTCCTAGCCACCAGGTTTGGCCCAAGTGGCCTAATCGTTGATCTGTACCAAGACCCCACCACCCCCAAAGACGACAGAGCAGGGATTCTGGGCCAGAAGGAAATGTGTGCCTGTGGCACTTCACAGATCAAC